CCATTAACAAATAAGCGCAGTGCACGTTTTGAATGTTTGAATTGCACAAATGTGCATCAAAGCACACGCTTTACGCAATTCCAAGGTGTGAACGGGTAATTAAGCTTGACGTACACCAGTAGAATGTTTTTTAAATCATTTTTAAGGGCTTTTTAAAGAAATTAGTTGATGTGAAATCGAATACTTTGAGGAAATCAAACGTCATTCTACCACATACAGTGGGCCTTTACATATACAGGTTACTAGGGACACCATTGCCATGACAACGGCGCCCTGCCCTCAAAGGATACCTTCTTGAGGATACCTTCCTGCATCTTCCTGACCAATCACAGGACGTCCCACTGGAGATGGCGCTGCACTCCCTCAGACCTCACACTCTGTCGTTCTCCTCATTCTAAGTAATTGTAATCATCATCATCTTCTAATGTATCACTCCTTTTACTTCTCTGTCACCTTTCACCCCTTTTCCCGCCCCATGACTGTAAACGTGATAATATCGCACACAGCAACGTCACTACCCAACAGCCATCAGCATTGAGCACGATTGTCACATCGCAGGATAGCAGCGTAAGGCGAGCGAGTTCGTTCTCCTCCCTGTGTATTGGCTCACTGGCCTGTCAGTCAACCTCCCCGTCCAATCGCCTCCTGCGCTGTTGTAGTTTCCGCGTTGTCGACCAATCAGCGTAAAGGTGATATCCAGGAGAAGGCGGGGCGGTGGCTGGCCAATGGTAGGAGGCGTGTGGTAGGCGGCGCCGGGCAGTGGCACGGAAGGGGACAAAGCTGCTGTGTGGTTGGGGTCCCCGAAAGAGGCGGGCTGGAGAGGTATGTGTTGGGTTGTCACCTCGGGGGACAATCGCTGTGTTTACGTTATACTTGTTTGTTATCAGAACCACGTGGGCTGGTCAGTATTGTAGAAGGTCAGCCATGGACCAAGAATAGGGACTGTCCCTCCAATACAGGAAGTGTGTGTGTACATATAGGCATCCTGTATCACTTCCACCTGCTGTGACACTACTGCTACATGATGCCTTGCCACGGCTGCATGGCCTAAAGAGACCCTGTCATCAGTGAGTTCTATGGAAAAAAATCACTTTTAGTAAAAAAAAAAAAACCGGCTTCATTGCTCCCCTTCTTCCCTAACCCCTTTCTGCACCCCACCAGCCTTTAAAGGGATCGTACGGCAACAGTACTGTCATCTGTTTGCCGGGCAGTGCATGACCTTCCTGATTATGTGATCACTATGATTGGCTGTCAGTGATCATGTGATCGAGAGCCTGTCACAGTGCTGGGGGCATGCGATTGATCACAGGAGAGATTTCCTCTGCTGCAGCCTTTCTTTTTTCACCTTTGTCCAGGCTGTGTTCCTCTTTTGCTGTGAGAGGAAGGGGCGGGCTCTCGAATGTAAACACTGTGAGTGTTTACGTTGATAAACGCTGTGATTGGCCACTCTGGTTATGTTCTTCTTGCCTGTGATCTTTGCTGCCAAATGACAGTGTGATCACAGGCATTGCATGCTCACACCTCCCGCAAGCCCAAATCTTCTGAGGAGCTCCACGTGAACGTGCAGTGAGCCGCCATGGATGTTCCTGAGGCCATACACCAAGTGTCTGCAGTCTGAGTACGGCCCTATACAGGTCTGAGGGCTCTTTGTGGTCAGCACTGAAGGTTTTGACCTTATGGAGGGTTTATGTTAGGGGGGGCTTCCTGGGTTAGTTGAGATGAGGGGGGTGGGCTATAAGGCAACTCTGTCACTTGAATACAAGTCCTGCAAAGAGAAGAATTTAACACTCACCTGTCCCAGTGCCTGCGCCATTTTAACTCCCCAAAGGATCTCAGCACTTCCAGGCACATCGGCTGCTTGATTCCCCTCTGCACACTATGGTTCCATCCATCAACCCCTGCGTCAATAAAGGACACTCAGATGGAGGGGGGCCAGGTATCCCATACATATCTGATGCAACAGGTTCCTTTGCCACTGGAGCCCAGTAAAGAACGATGGACAGGTTTTGGACAAGAGTTGGTAAAGATGGCCGTACACTCTGGTACATGGGTGCTGTTTCTGAAGAGGGAGGACATCTTTCTGTGATGAGTAAAAATAGAGGTTGCCCTCACTCGCTGCCTGCCATGGTAATTGGCATGGGGGTTACTGGACTATTTGCAGAATGGGGGTGACCTGGTAACAATGAATGGTGAAGTGCAGGTCTGATTATCCTGGAAAATCTGTGCTTGCACCAGTCTCCATACCGCTCCTAGGTCCTCTGCCATATCCAGCTCTGCTGCGGGTGCGCACCTCCTTTGGGATTCGTCACTGCCCAAACAAACTTGTGTTGTGATGCTGCACACCGGTAGTCTGAATAGTTTATAAACAACTTTATTGATCCAGCAGAAATTAAAACACTCCAGCCGTGCCTCCTTGTGATGCGTTTCACTCCCTACTGGAGCTAACTTGTAGAGATCTACAACTAAGCCTCGGGGCAAAACGTGTCCGTGGAAGACATAGGTGGAGTGTCCTCATTTCTGCTGGATAGATATAGATGTTTATAAAGTATTCAGGCTAGCGGTGGGCAGCTTTAAGCGTGTGTGTAGGTACACACACATTTACCAATGCCCCCTGATTTCATAGGAGCGATGTAATGTCCTGACGTTTTTTCTTTATTACAGGATCTGCTTTAGGCCCCTTTCCCAATGGCGGTCCAATGAGGTTCGCCTATTAGTTTTTCAGGCGGATCTCTCAGCAGCTAAATGTTACCCTATGGGCAGCCAGATGTAAATGAAGGTGCCTCCGTTTACGTCCCATTTCCCCGACTCCATCCAGGTCCGGAAAACATAATTCCATTTTGAGGACTTGATTGTGACTGATTAGGGATAATCTGATTTAAACTGACACATGTCCGCTTACATCCGACTCCCCATAGACCAGCATGTTTTCCATTGCAGGATGGAGGAAAAAAACTGGAGAGACACGGATGTCACAACGGTGATATCCGTTCATACTGCTCCGATCAGAAGGCGATCCGTGCATGGATCCCCTGCTGATTGGACCTGACGGGCGCCCTCGTGGAAGGAGCCTTCCACCACAAATAGGATCACTGATGACATGAAAGGATCTGATTACTGCCTCAAATAATCGCCCAGAACAGTAACCTTATCAGACCCGAGCAGGCTGCCGCTTTGGTATATAGATTACGTACACCAGTGATGGGAGTTTCAGAACGCAGAATTCCTCCTGTATATACTTTAGATGTTTGTTTTACGTTTGAGTGCTGATTATTGCTTATTTCCTGTCTGATGGTAAGTGACACTTGAATGTCTTTGCCTGAGGAGTCGAGTTGTACCTGGTTAGCTGCTCTGGCCGTACATTGAATCATTGGTTTTTTGTCCAATTGGTTATTTTTGAATACAGCCGTCTGTTTTTTCCTAGTGCTTCTTTTTTTTTTGTAACACCAAATGCGCAAATACACAATCAAAGAAAACGTATCCTTTTATATTCTACATTTACAGGCAGTGCCCGAGTTACAAACATCCAACTTACATACGACTCACTACTTACAAATGGAGGCTATTACTGTACAGCAAAGGTAGTTCTAACGCTACCGCGCTCGTGCCCACGAGGAGTGCCCGCCATTTTGGGTCTGGTTTGTAGTACTGTACCCACATTACAGGAAGTCTTCCGGATCACTGTGAGGTTTTTACTGCTGTCTGTATCCTCATTAGAAAGATTTAATCTCACTTCCTGTCCTTGAGACAACAGGAAGTGAAAGGAAATCTACCCCTAGGAAGGGAAATTCACTCCTGTAAGAGTGATCATGAATCCTTGTTTCCACGACAACCCAACATTTTCAAAATCCATTGGCACAGGGACAGAAAGTGAGGTGAAATCTTCTTAACAGGGGCACACACAGCAAAACAAACTTTTACAGGGGGTTAAAGGAGAACTATGAGGTGAGTGGAAATCACTCATCCTCATAGTTCGAGCCGACCTGTGACAATGAAACTGTCACCATTGTGTGTAATATCCGCGTTTTTGGCGTTTCCTTTCAATGCAATGTGTCAGCAGCAGTGAAAACAAGTGAATCCTAAAGTCACTCTTTACAATCTCAAGACAAAGTCACTGCGCTAAAAAACGTACAACTTCTACATAAATATACAAAACCAATAAAGTGCCTAGTGATAGCCCCAACATAATATGCAACCTCCCCTATAGTTACATTCAGTACAATCTCAAAACTGCATGTTCAATGTGTTGTAGATAGGCAGAGCCAGCTGTCAATCACGCAGCTGGGTGGATCTCAGTAATGTCGGGATCCGTCCCGGCTGCTGCGGTCTCCGTATACCACGAGCTGTGGCTCGCGATATACTGAGCTTTGGGTCACGGGAGGACGCTAGTTTATGTCCTCCCGTGACCCTTAGGAGAACTATGGGGAAAAACACTTACCCCATAGTTCTCTTTTAACCCTTCCCTATGTTATCCAAAACTAAAAAAAAAAAAACAGTTTTGGCTGAAGTTGCCCTTAAAAAATGTACCTGTTCAAACTTACATATAAAATCAACTTAAGAACAAACCTACAGACCCTATCATGTTCATAACCTGGGCACTGCCTGTACTTCCCTCCGCTCAGATATGTTCTATATGGAAGCCAGGAACATTCATAGAAGCATAACATGCGTTTCTGTTCAGTCTCGCACGTTCCATTCACTGGGATCAAAAACTGAACTTTAATGAATTTTTATGAATTATTCGGTTTAAAGAAATGTTCCGGGACAGAAAATTCTCTGCACACAAATTCCTCCAGCCGTCAGGCGTTTGTCTCCTCGCAGAGGAGAGGTCACAAGGGGTCTTCATGATGCCGGAATCTGCGTCGCTTGTAAAAATGTGTCTGTGTGTGACCTTCCAAGATTGTCGCCGATGGTGATCGTGACTAATGTAGTGATTGTAGAATCAACGTGTCGTTTTATTTTTTAATTTTCTGTTTTTTCATTTTTATTAAGGTAAAAGAAATTATTTGGGGAAAAAACACAATATAATGGCTACTGTGAGTAATTTTCATTCTTTCTGATATAGTGGTTTTATTGCTGGCACAGACATTACTTATGTTGAGATTGGGGAGCAAAATAGGTAAAAAAGAAAAAGGGTTTTAAATTGAATTTTGTTTAAAGCAGAACTCCTGGCAATTTTTTTTCTCAACCATTACAGTGGGGCTGGTCCTACAGTGCAAGGGTTAGGTGCTCATTTTTGTCTAGGTGCTAAAATTAAAACAAAAAGTTATACTCGCCCGAACCGCAGAGTTGGTTGGCTGCTGGTCCCTTCCGCCTGTCTCCTCCACTGCAGCAATGGTATGTCCCTCAGCATCCTTACGTCTTATACACTGTATATTGGATGCGATGACTCAAGAATCCTTAAGGTGGCCATACACTTTACAACCCGCGCAAAACTTTTGTCTTGCGAGGGTTGTAAAGTAATTTTTAAAACGTACGATCTGCCCATCTTGGACAGGCAGATCGTACTTGCGATCATCGCAAGCCCGCCCCCCTGAGGGGCAGACTTGCGATGACCGCAATGCAGAACGGGCAGTATGCGCACACCGGCCCGTTCGGCATTTGTCTCCCGAGCATGCCACACACCCGCCGACAATCCTAAGATTTTCGGCTGGTTTTCGAACATGCTCCTTAGACGAAAGACGTGCGACCGTACAGTAAAAACGGTTGCACGCCTTCCATACACTTTGCGATTATCGTACGATCGTGGGATTTCCCGCGATAATCGCACAGTGTATGGGCACCTTTTTAGACTGCTGCAGTGAAGGGAGAGAGAGGCTCCAGGGACCAGTCTAAAGGTGGCCATACACTTTACAACCATCGCAAGACCTTAGTCTTGCGATGGTTGTAAAGTAATTAAAAAAACGTACGATCTGCCCATCTTGGACAGGCAGATCGTACTTGCGATCATCGCAAGCCCGCCCCCCTGAGGGGCACCTTAAGAGAAAACCGGCCACGAGGATCAGGTGAGTATCACTTTTTTTTTATTTAGCACTTAATCGAGCACTTAACCCTAGCAGTCTTGGGGTAGCCCCACTGCAAGGGTTCAGAACACTTTTGCCCAGAATTCTGCTTAAAAGGACAAACCGTCACAACTGGACTTGTACGGGAGTCTGAATATTCATTCTTAAAAAGCAGTGCAGGTTTTCTTATGAAAGCTTTATTTTTATTGTATTTTTCTGCTAACCTGGCAGCTGCCGTTCTTCTTGCATTGCCCCTCTGAGGCCAATTGACAGGGCGGCAACAGTCGCTATCTGACCTGAAGCGGTAGAAACTAGTAAATAAATAAAGCCTATTAAGGGGGCAAATTAAAACCTGCCAGTGACCTGCCTGCCTCGGTCCTTTGTGTTTCTGGGCCCAGCAGTAACTGCTGTGCAAGTATTACTGTGCATTCTGCAGGGGCCCCCACCCAGTGCAAGCAGTGATTCCAGGACCACGAATGGCGCCGTGATTAGGATACAATTTCAAAGAATGTCACTAACACACCATGTTAAATGTGATTAGCAAACGTCCATTTTAATGACAAAAATGTTATTCAATTGCTGGCTGTGTTCTTATTAGAAATTGTCCTGTAAACTGATGTCACCTGGGCTGGAAATTCCAAAATGTTGCATTTTCACTAGAAGTGGAATTGGGGGGCAATCTTCCTATGGGGACACTTATTCTGGTGACAACTGTCATCGAGGGGGATTTCACCTCATTTCCACTTGACAAGAAGTGAAGGGAAATCTCCCTAAAGGGTCACAGATGGTAGGAACCTCACACGTTCAAGTTTTTGTACCTGGAGCTTTAAGCTGATCACTTTTAAATGTATATCTATAAAATTGGATTGCCATTTGTACTCTCTTGCTTCCTATGTCTGTTTATTTAATGTATTAAATATAAAATATCTATGTAAAATCTGAAAATAATGCCTTGTTGCTTTTGCAGGCACTCTGCAGCAGAGCCAGGCTAGTCACCTACCTCCCCGGGTTCTGCTCCCTCATGAGAAGGGTGAGAGGAACCCGTACTTTTTCTACTGCAGGATCCTCAGGCTCTGATGAACCTTATGTAGCTGCTACACCACCTGACATACGTAAGAGAGTCGTATTTATAATAGTAGTAGGAACATGTGCGGAATCTGCTGTAAGCTGTCATTGGAGGAAGTGAGATCTATGCTTGCTTTACATTCTTCTCTGACTTCAACTATACGCCAGAGTGTCTTTTCCTTAGTGATGGCTCCAAAGACCTGTACCTAGAGCTAGAAGTTTTCACGAAGATGGGAGAATTCTTTTAGGGCTCATTCACACCATGTCCATTGAGCTGCATAGATCTACATTGATCTTCGCCACGACACACGGAAAACAATTTCTTTCTATATGTGTCCTGTTCATACCACACCAAATCTGCATTTTTATGCCACAGCACATGCGGCAGCACATCACAACACGCTGCTGTGCACGGAGATGAATGAAATATTTGTTTTACAGTCAATAAAGCTAAAAAATAGGACAAAAAAATGTAAGCATTGTGATGCATTGCTACAACGCATTACAGAGCAAATGCACGATGCACACCAGTGGAGATGTGTTATTCACAGCAAAACGTGAGGGAGCCCTCAAATTCTGTCGTTTGTCTTCTGTAAAAAATGTCTCCTACAGATGTTCAATATTATTAAAACTGCACTTAGTTTTCTTTTGGTCCCCCTGCAAAGTGCCAGAAATACCTGTTGTCTTACCAGTGAATTATTTGTTAAATAATTCATTGTACTTTCTAAATACAAGTGGTGGAAGTACCTGAATTTGAGTTATACTTGGACTGAATGAGGGAGGAGCAGCATTAGGAACCAATTATTATTAGGGATGCACCGATATATCGGCCGAAAATGGCACTTTTGGCATAATGCCGAAAGAGCCATGTTTCGGCCGATACATCGGCGCATCCCAGGTTTCTTTTCTCCCCGCTGGGCCCTGTTCCAGCGGAGAGAAGAGAAAGTGACAGCCGGCCGAGCGCCGCAGGACGAGAGCGCTCTGAGCGGCCGGCGTCTCTCCTCCCACACCGCTCAGCCGCCTATCACAGTCCGGCAGAGTGGTGTGTGGGCGGAGACAGCGCTGTCACAGGAGGCTGGGCTTTCCTCTCTACACCGCTCGATCAGCCTCCTGTGACAGCGTGTCAGAGAGAAAAGCAAGGTACACACACTCAGCGATCAGTGATTGCTGAGTGTTTGTACATAATTGAGGATATGGTATGTTAACTATATCCTCAATTATGAATGAATGGGAGTGATCTACATTATTATTATACAGGATTTATATAGCGCCAACAGTTTGCGCAGCGCTTTACAATATAAGGAAGACATTACAATCACAATACAATTCAAGACAAGATGGTAAGGAGGACCCTGCTGTGCTGCATGCAGATATGTTGATGAGAATCATGCTGATAGGCGTAGAGGACAAGAGATCAGCTTATCTGTCGGCTGCTGCTCTTTCTTTATCCTGTCAACAGGAGGCCTATGAGGGAGATGTCATTACTTAATTCATTAAAGTTAAAGTCAAAATACCCCTACGACCCCCCTCTGCCCCCCCCAATGCTGCTGTAAGGACTTAACTTAAATGACACCTCTTTTTGCATATATCTATTGCTTACTAGCCGTAGATATATGCAAAAAAAAAGAAGGTTTAATTGTACTTTAACAATATCAAGAAAAGTGGTGTCATCCTCCTGTCTGTGCTGTGTTAATCCCAGTACTGAATGAATGGAAATAAAAACCCAGGTAGAACGACTCCCTTTGATGCCTTTCATCTATTTATTTATTTAGATGTTTGCCTGGAGTTTGTCTACTTTTCCATATAATGAACATATGTTTGTGAAGCGATCCAGTATTTGCGTTGTGTTTAAGAGGCTTATGTTGTGTTCTCTTCCCAGTTCCCAGAACAGTATGGCCGGACGAGGTTATGGGGCCTTTTGGTCCCCAGGATCAGCGCTTTCAACTCCCTGGTAATGTTGGATTTGATGCTCATGTAAATGGAATGAACGCACAGAGGATAGCCCAAGTTCCAAAAAACCTACCTGACCTCCTATCTGAGCCAGCTGCTAGTGAAAGACACGAGTTTGTCATGGAACCTCTTACCTATTGATGTTTACTACACCTATATGGATCTCTGCCAAGCATTCTATCCTCCCTTTTTTTTCTTCCTCCTAACCAGCTGGAGAATTATTGCAGCAGAGTACAATGATTTTATATGAACGGTACTACATTTGTCTCTTCATGTGTCTTGTTAAATCAAGCAAGCTAAATATAACCTTTTCTCCTGCTGTCCTTGGAGAGCTGTGTTGTGATCACCAGCAGCTATGTATGATTAAGGGCAAAGTAAAAAGTTATCTTGTTAGGCCTAAACCCCACTAACACCACTGATTTTTACCTTCGCAGGGCTCCCCCCCACCGCTTCAGTTGTCACTGTGTATTTTTGGATATGTGGGGAGCATGTGACCTTCTCCCCTTCCTTCCCTGGATTCAAAGTGCATTTCCACTCTCTCTGCCGTGACGGGGGAGGGGCTGGATTCCCCTCTCCCCGCTCCGATCCGCCAGCGCTGACTGGCGGAACAGACGGGGGAGGGGGCGGGTACAGCTGGCTCTGCCTCTAGATAGGCAGAGCCAGCTGTCACTCACGCAGCTGGGCGGATCTCGACATCAATGTCGGGATACCTCCGTGTGCGGCGTCTCCAGTATACCGCGAGCTGTAGCTCGTGGTGTACTGAGCCTAGGGTGACGGGAGGACGCTAGTTTGTGTCGTCCTGTTACCCTATAGAGAACTATGGGGAAAAGCCCTGACCCCATAGTTCTCCTTTAATGTGGTCATGTGAGGGAGGGAGAGCAAGTCATTAACCCTGGTCATTGGTTGAAAACATCAATGGTTGAAATCAAGAGAATTGACAAGTGTTTGACTAAAGTTAAAGGATAAAATCAAAACTGAATATATTACAGCTTACCGGTTCAGGGATGTACACCCTGAACCGTACACTGAACTTGTATGTCAAACAATCTTTCAGTTTTCCCAGCTACCTTCTTTGAACTTCAGAAGAACATCTCCCTATGTAATTGAGCTGAAAATTGGAGGGATGGGTTAGTAGCCAAGATTGACCACCATGGCTCTGTCCAAAAATACAGTAGAGTGCATGAGCTGTGTCACCCAAGGACGGGAAGTATGTTGGGCTACTAGGTAAAAATAAAGAAGAAAAGTTCAAAGCCTGAAAAAGGAAAATGAATGCAGCCACCACATCTAAGGACTGGTAAGCTGCAATATACAGATTTTTGGAGAAATCACTGTGAATAGGAAAAAATTTCAGATTTATAAACCGTCCGCCAAAGCATAATCAATGAACAAAAACTCTGTGCCAATCATTCCTCAGAGAACCAGTTGTTCCCTATTTTGCTTACCATAGGGAAGGGAAAGCCAGGCTAAGGGGATAGAAATGAATAGCACATTAAAAGATAAAATGGTAAAACCAGTTTTTGTTGCAGTATTTATTTCAGTGCAGGGATTCCCGTACCCCACAGTACTGTCTTCTGCCTCTAAATGTCCTGAACCCATTTTCTCAGCCCGGGTCGTCCTGAACCTGGACAATGAACATAGAAGCAGCACAGTGATGAGCACATCTCTCTGTCACTCTGCATTATCTTTCAGCAGTCATCGTGTCAACACATGAAATGATTGGCTCCTTGTACTACTTCTTTTACACATGATTCTTGTTTCTATGCGATATTTGCTTATCTGGGAGTTCAGCTTTAAATGTCCATATGCTGTATTTCTATTAAAAGAAGTTGAAAATGTCTGTAGAGATGCAGCTGGCAATCTTTTAGAAAGAAGACTGCTGGACATGCATTGTAATCTCTTTTTATTTTATTTTTTCCTTCAGGGAAGTGAAATTTCTCTGCAGCAGCAAGACGTATGCAGCGCGGAAACCTACTTTGAGAATGCAAAAGTAGAGTGTGCCATGCAGAGATGCCCGGAACTTCTGAAAAGAGGTACCAGGCTGAGGCCGCTTCTTTCATCCTCTTACTGATGTGTATTCTGTGCAGCTATTCAGAGTCCAGACAAAGAGTTAAAAATGAATGTCAGTGTGACGCAGCCTGGTGTGAAGGGGCATTCACCTGCTCTTTCCAGGAATATTTTTGTAAATTTGAACTACTCGGCCAGCATTGTATAACCAGTTTTTATATATTGCAGATGTTGTATCCATGTTTCCTGAGGTGCCCGATAACAGCGTAATAGTACTAACTGTGACACAGAAAACTGTGAATGATATGACCATGTGGAGTGAAGAGGTGGAGAGCGAGAGGGAAGTGATGTTGGAGAAGGTTGGTGACTTTCTGGCCTAGCATCTAATTTCAGTAATAATCTGCTTGGGTTCCACAGCTGCCTGGGGCTTGATTAGAAAGATCCCTCACTTTGTTTTATTAAAGGAGAACTATGGGGTAAGTGTTTTCCTCATAGTTCTCCTAAGGGTCACGGGAGGACACAAACTAGCGTCCTCCCGTGACCCAAAGCTCAGTATAGGTTGCGGTATACTGAGACCGCCGCAGCCGGGACAGATCCCGATATTGCTGTCGAGATCCACCCAGCTGCATGATTGACAGCTGGCCCTGCCTATCTAGAGGCAGAGCCAGCTGTACCCGCTCCCTCCCCTGTCTGTTCTGCCAGTCAACGCTGGAGGATCCGGGAGGGGGGGAAATCCTTGCAGGGAGCCGTGAGTGATGGTCACGGCTCTCTGCAGGGAGATGATCGAGAAGTGAGCGAGTGACGGTATGCATTCGCTCTCTTCCCGATCTATTGAGCCGACGTGTGACAGTTTCATTTTCACACGTCGGCTCGAACTGTGAGGTTGAGTGAAAATCACTCGCCTCATTGTTCTCCTTTTAAAGCTCAACTCCTGCCTATAATCAGTTCTAGCAATGGATAGGTTTATTTTGTTTCTTTAAATTCTTCCCCCCGGTGTAACAGATCTATGTGGCATCACAGCAGGTGGCCTTAATCCCCAGCTGCTGCCTAAGTGCGTCCATGGGGCCCCGCTGTTGTGTGCTGGGAGTGCACTCACTACGTGCTCCCAGCACTTTCAGCTTCCAGTGGGCAGATGATCAGGCCTAGACCTCCCAGATGTTAAGACCCAGTTAAAGGGCAGGAGGGAGGCTGCAGTTAGGGCTTAATGCAGTATTAAGCTCTTAAACTTCTTTTGAATAATGAATCCATTTCTCAGAACATTGCCCAGCAAAGTATTTCTTGACATTTTTGCTACAAAAGATATTTCATTCAACTTTCTATTAGTTGATGGGGGCAAATCAATGGTAAATTTTCAACCGTAGTGACGAAAAAACTTGAAGGAGCAGGATGGAATATTTTTCTCGAAAGAACGAAGTTCGAACAGTGAATGCGGTTTTCCTTCAGGAAGTTCCATTCATTCCAAAATTGAATGTTAAAATCAAATGAAATGCCCCTGGCAGTATTATATGGGTCGCCTATGTAATTGCCCCTTTTGCTGCACAGTTTGGTCTGAAGAAAGAAAACTGATCTTTTTCCCATTTGCATTCACCTTCCTATTTCCCTTCACTAACATTTACAGCTAATCTGATCACTTTTACATAAAAGCCCAGAGATGCATTTTAAAACAAGCTCACAGCTGCTTGTTTTAACCCTTCCGATGCCATGATGTATAGGACCCAAATGGGTTTAGGGTCAAATCTACCAAAAAATATATATGTATCCAGCTTGAGTTCACACTGACTGGTGGGATTTCCCTTTTTGTAGTTTTATATCTGTTGGAGATTTTAGTTGTGATATTTCCCAGCAGGAGTTTGTCCCTTCTCCCTCCCACACAGAGGTTATGTACAAAGAGGGGAATGTATCAAAACTGGAGCAGACACAATCAAGCGCAGTTGTGCATGGCAACCAATCAGCTTCTCTCTTTCATTTGATCGGTTGCCATGCACAGCTGCTCCAGTTTTTGTCTGCTCCAGTTTTGATAATTTCCCCTCAAAGCGTCTACATTAGAAATGCAAAACAGAAACGAGCACAAGAAAAGGTGCTTCAATCCAATGAAAATCCCTCCCATTCTGAAAACTAGGACACCGTATGAAACATTTAAAAGAACACCTACTAAAGGAAACATGCAGGGTTTTTTTCTGACTTCGTGACTAGGTTCCACCAACTGCTATTCCACTGATCAATGAAAGCATTATCATTGATTGTAAGCCCTCACGGGCAGGGCCCTCCTTACCATCGTGTCCTGAATTGTATTGTAACTGTAACGTCCTCCTTATATTGTAAAGCGCTGCGCAAACTGTTGGCGCTATATAAATCCTGTAAAATAATCATTGGCCGCTGAGACTTATTGGAAAAGCAAATGTTATCCGTTGGGGCTTGACCATGGAGTCAGTGAAAGTCAGGCCTTCGTAACAAAGTATAACTAAGCCAAAGAGGCACACAGAGTTTCTGGTCAGTTAAGGTAACAAATAGGGATGCACAGATACTTTTTGAGTACCAGTGCCGATACTTGGCATTTTCATGCAAACTACCAGGGTTGCAGCAGTTGTAGCTGGGACCTGGCTCTGGCACTCCACCACTGTCCTGAAATCATTAGCCTGTATTGTTTTAGAAAAACTGTCACATGACAATAAACAAAAATGTATCAGTACTTGTAAGTACTCGGCAAGTACCAGTACTTGTACTCACAAAACTGGTATCTGTGCATCACTTTATTTATATTTATAAAAACAAAATCATACATTAAAACAGAGATGTACAAATCCCAGGAGCTCCGTGTGCTCCTTACAAATGACAGCTGCCTCTTAATTTTTGAATTTTTCTCTAGTGTAGTCTTGGAGCTGGAATGTATCGGTACATGTACTCGTACTTGTACCGAGTACTGTACTTGGTATCTGTGCAACCCTAGTAACAAACATCTCGAGGTGTCTGCGTTTACTAAGAACTTTTACTTTTAATGCTTAAATGGAATACTGGAATCGTTTTAACAATATCTTTGTGTATATATTTATTCCTGGCTAACAAAATGCAGTATTTATTTCTGCTTCAGATCTTTAAGTAAAATATAGAGTGGCATTCTTAATGTTCTCCACATGGTGTCACTGTTCTCTTTTATAAAGCTCAAGTCTCATTACCAGTAATTTGTCCATGTGATATTATTATATAGGATTTATATAGCGCCAGCAGTTTGTGCAGTGCTTTACAATATAAGAAGGACATTACTGTTACAATCCAAATTAAGAGAAGATGGTAAGGAGGGCCCTGCTTACAATCTGAAGATATAATGGTGTTTCTATGTAACTGCCCATGTAATAATTAAAGAGAATGGCCAAAATATTTATCCTTACTATACAATTTTTTTATTTTTTTTTTGAAGGGATAAATGGCTTTTCCTGGTGCTCCTGTCAACATATGATGGGTTAGCTCTGACCCCACAGGTCCACCAATACACTAGCCAAAATTAATACTAGCCACACTTCATTAACATTCTTTTTCGTTGGTCCCTGCATCAGAACACACTGGTTGAATATTAAAAGAGCCTCTCTACCATGTCACAAGAAGTTGAAGGCACATGAGTAGAAGGTAAACCCTTTGGCCTAAGGGAGACCTTTTAGTGCTGGGCTTCTATGGATATATGCTGAAGGACAGAATACCTCAAGTTGCCCTCTATGATGCCTGCAAGACTCAATGATCCAGTGGTGCTGATCTTCCTACTGCATCGGGAGAACAAGGGCTTGTAAAAGTCTTGGAGGGGTTGTTTCTGTAAGCTAAGTTCTTACTGACCTAGGCATGCCCCAGAACTTCATCGCCCAAGAGCCTTCTCCCTACACACGGGAGTCAAGGCAATAGCATTGTTTTGCTAGGAACGAAATCCGTGCATGCATGTGGATTGGGACAGAGTAGGCAGGTGGCTAGGTGGAGGTCTTTGTTTCAGCAGGCGAGGCTGGCAACAATTGTTGGAATTTCAATCCAGAAAAAGGCAATGTGTTGTAGCCCCAATGAGGAATATGGTAGCACACTGGATTTCTGGCAAATTAAAGGGTTTTGTTTTTTTTTTACTTTCAGGGAAATCTGCATGTTTGGGAGAGATGTAATGTATAGTGAGAGATATGTCTATTTAATTAATTTTTTTGCCCTGACATACACTTTAACCATATTTATATAAAAGCGTAAGCATACCCTGTAACGGCAAATACCAGTGGCATACGTTTTTTCTTTTTTTTTTTTTTACACTCTATCTGGTGTTTTCCACTAGGTAAAATAATTTTTTGCACTTGAACTTCTCTAGCGAAGCTGCTTTTGTTCCGAAGGAGACTTGTCTCCAAAGCTCGTTCTGGTCTGTTACATTTGGCTCTTGTAATGTGGTCTAATTATGCATTAATTGTCGGATTTCTCAGCTCATCACCTCCCTGTCAACTCCAATCTAGCAGCGGAGAGCGTCTGCCTATTAGATGTAACCTCTGGAGAGGGCATTCCCAGAGCCGAGCTGAAAAACCATTCAACGTTGGATGCTGTTGCGCATTCGGAAGAGGTTTAATGAGTAATGAGAGATTATGGAAAAATATCTCCGACTCATTCCAGCCAAGATGAATCTGAAGTGGCAATATATATTCAATGTCTGTAAACGATGGGTTATTGCTGGGCATACATGGCTGCTGACAGACATCTAACACTCGGCACCGTTTGTTTGCTAGTATTGTATGCATTAAGGACCAAATTAAACAGGGCTGGTGAGAATTGAGCTGTGTAGGACAGAAGTGGCCACATTTTATTATAGAATTCAGGAGCCAGTCTGTCTGATCATGCAGCCAGCCGGATTTTATTTTAGAAGTCAGCTCCACTGACAAACACCTGGGGAAAACCTCAAAAACTAGGGGCCAGCTGGAATTTTTAAGGAACATTGGTTACCTAGCTCCTGGTTTTTCTACATCCCTGGTATAGGAGTTAGGGACTGAAGGCAAGTATGAAGTACAAGAACTTAGAGGTACATGCACAAACTTGACGGGACTTCCCATCCCCCTCTCCTTCCTGATTGTCGGATTGTTCTGATCTGACTCAATTTTGGCATGTCTTGGTAGTGTTGAGTCCTGAGCGCTCATCTCGGTTCCAAGCACATTCCTGCTGGCCAGTAGTTACTAGCTGTGACACCATGCACCTACAATATGCCCTTGGCCTTCAAGGTTGATTGATACAGGGCATCATTCATCCTGGAAGTTGAGGATATCTTGTGGCAGAGAAGAGGTAGTAGTCTCCGGCCTTAAGACGCAGGCCCCATAGAACTCTGAACTAATCTCATTATGTGACAAGTTGCTAATCCAGGGAGAAGGGCAGTGAGGAGAGTGCGGCGTTGTAGTGGAAGATCTCTCTTTGTTTCTGGATGTTGTCAGAGACCTTTTACCCCTACAGGACAGAACTTCTCCAGAATATTCTTTCTTCCGAACATTGTAGCAAAATCAAGTCTGACTCCTGTAAATGTCTACTTTGCACACTTGTTAGTGAATTCTGCACTTTGTGCCCAGATTCTGCTCCATTTAGTCACGCCAATGGATGCGATTGGAAGTAATATGCAGCTCGGTCTTGAAATAAATCAAACATAACATTTCTTGTGGCTTCTCGTTTCAGTTCTCTGCCAGTAAAACCACAAACTGGGACCATTTCCAGTGGTATGGTTTAAATACAAATTGTACCAGTTATTATCATGTTAGTGGCTCTTTTTAGGGAAGTCTTGAATTTCTTGTTATGCTGGATCACAGCTCCTGTACATCTTGGCTGTGTGTGTGCCGTACAGGTATGGGGATTTTACCTGGACACCGTATACTCAGAGACACTACTAGGATTGTAGTTTTTTTGGAACGATATAATTTGACAGGGGTGAGGTCTCAGACCACTTGGGCTACATGGTTCTGGGTAGTAATATTTTGTTTGTACCAGAGAAAAATTGCTGACGTTCTACAGTTAAAATATTGCAGAGATGGGTTGGTCATGTATATTCTCTCCAGATCTGCAGGAACACTCCGCAATAATGTTGCTCTTGCATCACCAGTCAATTCCAAACTGATGTCAATTTTTGGCAGTTGCTAAGCCATTAGGGTTACCTAATGGTTTTTGTCTTGGACTGCACGAGGGAGATGATTTTGGGTTTCTAAGTGGCCACTGCCGTTACAGTCGCAAGGATATATTTTGTGAGTTTATTAAAACCTAGACACTCTCCCATATTTAAAAGGCTCTGCATTCATTGCTTACCTTTACTATAAATCTGACTAATTGACATAAATATTTTATTCTAGGCTGACGAATGCACAAAAGGTTAAAAAAAAAAAGTATTTTTAAAAATGTAACTGACTGACTGACAATTACAATATTAAACGGACACCCTGCTATCTTCAGGCTGTAGTGCCAAGTCTTATTTTGTGAATGAAGCTTTTGGCATACATGTAACCACTCTGTCACAGCTGACTTGGTGATCACATGATTGGGAACCACTCTGGTTCCTGAACATTAATATGGATCCAGAGCGGTCTGTGGCAGCCCAGTCTGACAGCTAGAAACCTCAAACAGTGTAATGCTGGGCACACACCTTTACAACCATGACCGCAATGCCGAATGGGCAGTGTGCGCTTGCGCACACCAGCCCGTCCGGCTTTTATCTTACGAACATGCTACACACCCACCGAACATCGTACGATGCTCGGCGGGTTTGCAAACATGTTCGTAAGTTTAAAGCCGTGCGACCTTACAGTAGTAGAGGTCGCACGGCTTCCACACACCTTACGATTATCGTACGATCGCGGGATTTCCCGCGATTATCGTACGATTATCGTAAGGTGTGTGGGCACCCTAAAGGTGGCCATACATCTTACAACCATTGGACAACTTTTTTTGTCCAGACATCTCACCCTCAATTTTCGTTTAACAAGCCCATCATGCAAAGACCAACGTAGTTCGCAATTAACGTTCGTCAGCACCACCACCTGACTGATTTTCATCAATTGAAAGGACAGATTGTCGTTTGAGCATGTGTAGGTTTTATTTTGAGATTTTTGTTGTATAACAAGGTCACTAACCTGTTGCTTTCATCCAACTAGACCAGGGGTACGCAACCTTGGCTCTCCAGCTGTGCTGAAACTACAAATCACATCATGCTTCTGCCTCTGGGAGTCATGCCTGTGGCTTACAATGCCTTATGGGATTTGTAGTTTCAGCACAGCTGGAGAGCCAAGGTTTCCTATCCCTGAACTAATCGAAAATTTTCTAGCCTTCTTGAAAGACAAAAATCTGCCAGTTGTACGGTAATTGAGGTTGTACACTCTCCATCAACTGGCAGATTGTCTGACAAAAACGCGATCGCAGACAAAAATCTCCAAATAATTGTAAGGCGTATAGGCACCTCAACTCTCTCGGGAGATGCAGGCTTCCTGTTTAATGGTTCCTCACTTTTATCCCAGCATCCATCTTGTGAAGGTGGACAGCCCTTTTGTTGAATTCTTTGTCTTTTTCTTTTCTATGTGATGATGAGGATGATGATTGGCCTGTGAAAATTCAGGCCACGTCTTCTCAGGTTCTGAGCAGCACCTCTGTGTCTCAGAGAGAAGGTTGCAAGAAATCATGTAATGGGTGGCTGTAGTGCCACACAAAAGTCTTGTGGAAGTCCTACAGAATCTGGCTTCCCTGAATATTAGCTAAACTCCTTTTGGACAGTTTGGTTTCAGCACCGTGGCTGGATAGAATTAGCAGTGGCCCGGGGTAACTTCTTACCAATTTAGGGGTAAACTAGGGCACATTTGTGAATTTGTATTTTATGACTTGCAAACTCTCAAATATTTCAGATAGCAGTGGCGATGATGAATTTAGCCCGAATTGGCTGATGATGTGTAACCGATTTTATCTTTTTTTTTCCAGTTCATTAATGGTGCCAAGGAAATTTGCTATGCCCTCAGGTTAGAAGGCTACTGGGCCGACTTCATAGACCCATCTTCAGGACTGGCAGTAAGTGACTTGTTGGACATTTAAATGAAAATACAGGTTGCATATCACTACACTAGGAGTATACTGGGCTGAAGCAAGCCTACTGTTCTGTAAGGAGCCTCATTTTTTACATGAATTATTACTTGGTTGTTGGCATTTGTCCATCCATGCCATAAATAATCGACTGACCGCTTATGGTTATTGTGAGCTGGTGTGTCCACCGAGTTCTGACAGATCCATCTCGTTTTGGCTTTGGCAACAAGAATGGCTTTTTATAAGTTTATCTTTTTAAATGGGCGGCATTGTGGCTAAATGGGACCTTGAAACCTTGAAATAAAATGCAGAATCTCCTTATACGGTAGACCATAACCCCACCCCAAGACCCCCACCCTCATATGTAAAAAAAAAAAAAAAAAAAGTTAAGTGAAATAAAAAATAAAAATAGAGTTAAGTGAAATTAAACATTAAAATTGCACATTATGAAAAAGGTAAAGGCTAAACTCTAGATATAAAAGCTTTAACTTTTCTTAGTCCAGCCCAGCAGCTTCTGACCCTTAACAGGGTTTGTTTTGCTGTGTGTGCCCCTACAGTGTCTCTCTGTTGGCTTGTTAGGTGGTGCCAATGAGTTATTGGGCATTGCCATGTGCCAGAGGAGCTCCCAGTCTGCATCTAAAGATATGTGTTTATCTCTACAGGTACCTTTTATGGTGTCTGCTTTTAGGCTCTTGTGTTTTGTTTTGGTAATACATTTCCTTTTACTATTCTTTAATCTATGGGTGTATCTAAACCAGGGGTGGGCAACCTTGGCATTCCATTTATGGTGAAACTACAAGTCCTATGGAGCATTTCCAGACAGACAGCCACAGGCATGACTCCCGAGGCAGAAGCAGGGTGGCATTTGTACTTTCATTGTACGTGGAGTGCCAAGGTTGCTTACTCTTCATCTATACTGTAAAATAAAAAAGCCTTACTTTGTTTAGAGGGGTCCTTTACATCATGTTGTGCTTTTGCATACATATATGCTATAACAAAAACACGATCTTAAGAAAACATGCAAAAGAAACTCATTAAAGTGGAACTTGATCCACCAATATAACTGTATCCAAAAACATTTTTTTTTTTAAGGCATGCCAACTATCAGGGTTGCCAGTGTGCTTATTTCAGCTTTCAACTGAACTTTCAAGCCCTCAAATGCCTGGTGTCGTAGCTGATCACATGTGCAGCACCATGGCAACTGCATTTCAAATAGAGGCAAAGATGGCACCTTCCTTGGCTGTAGAGGATAGATGTTTGTAGTTCCGCTTAAATACTTGCCTAAAGTCCCCTCATTCCCTGGATCTTCATGATTTTAAAGAACTACATCCTCCAGACCAATCTCCAGCATTCAGCACTTCTGGGTGTCACATGCCTGTGTCTCCCACCACCACATTATGGTTCCAGTCGCCTGTCTTTGTGTCCTGCAGTGACCAGCAGCTGAAACCACCGTGCACAGCGGGGTATCTGGCATCCAACACATTGGAAGTGCGTCAGATACAGAAAAATTATTTGGACAGCATTACTCTTGTTGATGGTGAAGATTGGAGGCATGGCTGGTAAGACGGGTACATTTTCAAAAGCTTCCTCTGCAGCTTTACAAAGAATCTGATGCTGCTTTGTTTGAGTTGTGTCACATAGAGGCAAGCAGACGTGACCCCTGTGAACTGACTGCTGGTGGCGAATCTCCCACACGGCACCAGTGTGCCCACAGACATTCTCCAACCGCACTGCTATAGACACCACTGAATGGGAATTCCTTTCTTGTCACGTAGTACGCCTAAGTGAAAGTGACATGCTGACAAAATAACGCTAACCAGATTATGTCGCAGTCCACTTGTCAGATACAAAACGTTTTGAGTGTTATTTCAAATATATTTTACTGCTCTTTAAAATCTTTTTTTTATTGAGAACTTCTTTTTTTGGTTTTGATCACCCATTATATCTTCACACATTGAACCTGTAACATATATGCTATGTATTTTTCTTTTAATTGGATTTCTTTGGACCTTTGCACAATTCTTGCTGTGATGTGTCCTTGTGGCCCCAGCCACCTCAAGAATTTCACTGGAGCCTTGTGCTTTATGCATACTGACAGAATGCCTGGTGGAATTGCCTTAGCCTATGAGTAGCTACTAGCCGCATATAGTGTGTGTATGTTTATGTATATACAGGCAGTCCCCTGGGTTACAAACAAGGTAGGGTCTGTAGGTTTGTTCTTAAGTTGAATTTGTATGTAAGTTGGAACAGGTGCATTTTTAAGTGTAAAATATTTTTAGTTTTGGATAGCATAGGGAAGGGTTAACCCCCTGTAATGTTTGTTTTGGTGTGTGTGTGCCCTTGTTCAGAAGATTTCACCTCACTTTCTGTCCCTGTGACAATTGGATTTTGAAAATTTTGGGATGTCGTGGAAACAAGGATTGGTGATAAAGCTTCAGTGCAGACACCTTTTTCCCATGATAACTCTTATCGGAGTGAATAGCCCTTCCTAGGGGTAGATTTCCTCTCACTTCCTGTTGTCTCAAGGACAGGAAGTGAGATTAAATCTTTCTAATGAGGATACAGACAGCAGTAAAAACCTCACAGTGACCCGGAAGAAGAGGCGGGCACCCCTTGTCTGCATGTCTAACAAGAGCCAACTTCCTGTAATGTGCGTACAGTACTACAAACCAGACCCAAAAAGGCGGGCACTCCTCATCGGCACGAGCGCGGTAGCATTACAACTACCCCTGCTGTACAGTAATAGCCTCCGTTTGTAAGTAGGAGTCGTATGTAAGTCGGTGACTGCCTGCAGTATATTTTTCTTATATATTTTTTTTCTTTTATAGTTTTTTGGTCCGTACACAAATAACAGTCTCTTCGAAACGGATGAACGTTATCGGCACCTTGGATTCCGGGTGGAGGATCTCGGCTGCTGTAAAGTCATTCGCCATAACGTCTGGGGAACGCACGTTGTGGTTGGAAGTATTTTCACAAATGCTCCTCAGGACAGCACCATCATGAGGAAGTTGGGGGAACACTAGCAGCCATTGTGGAAGTTCTCCGTCATGTCATTGCCTCTACTGATTGGTTATCTTCTTGGCTGGTGATGATGGAAGCCTTAATTTGGACAAAAAACTGTGCAATTCTATTTAAATAATGTAACTTTTATTTATGAGAAGGACCATCGATGAAATAACCCGTGCAAATGATGTAACGGGTGACAGTTCACTTTATAACACTGTAAAATCCTTCACGATATCCATTGTGAAGAGTTTTAGGGAATTCAGATGGTCAAATAAATGTGTTTTACAAAGTGCTCCGTAGTTTTATATAATTTTGTTGTCTGATTTGGAATTCTGAAGAAGCCTTTACATTCCAATGTTACTATGTTACAAGCCGGCTTTCTTTGGTTGGGATTCACAAGCTGTTCCTAGTGTTTGAAAATGTTGGGGGTAGTGAAAGGTTTACGTTGGGGACCCTAATGCCAGACCATTCATTTCAACAACAATCTCCCTATAAGATAATATGTGCATTTAACCTATATTATGCATATACTGTATACCTGTAAAAGCCTCCCTTGTGTAGACATCCAAAACTCCTGAGACTGCGGCTGGGTGGCACCATCCTGGATGTGATGTCGGCAGCCCCATCAGACTCTGGGCAGTCACTCAAGTGATACTCTAGTGCAGGGGTGGGCTACCTTGGCATTCCAGCTGTTGTGATACTACAAGTCCCATGTTACATTGCAAGACTGGCAGCCACAGGCATGACTTGCAGAGACATTGTGGGATTTGTAGTTTTTACCACAGCTGGAGTGCCGAGGTTGCCTACCCCTGCACTAGAATATTCTCCTTTGTTCCCCCCTTTTCCAATGAGGAAAAGCTGGGACAGCATAGACAGTAATTAGACACTCCCAGAAATGCAGAGGGCTAAGATGTATAAAGGTGCCCATACACATTGCAATCATCGGACGAAAATGTTTCGTGCGGCGGCCCCATCCTGCCCCGACCATCGCACGGTTCAATTAGCAGTCTTTAGCAGAAATCACCTGGACGAATTTCGTTAATCGACCCCTACGGATTTTCCTTTGCGCATGAGCAGTGTTAATCGTACGATTTTTGATGTACAGAAACACCACCAACCTTGCGAAAATCGTACGATTCGACAGAAGTTTTCTAACCTGCAGGAAAGACAAAAGTTGTACGATTGTACAGTATTTGCGGTTCTAAACTGCCCATCAACCTTTACGGATATCAGACGAAAACGTAATCGCAAACAAAAATCGGCCGATATTCGTAAGGTGTATGGGCACCTTAAGGAGGGGGAGGAGCCTGTGCTAGGTAACTGACCCTTCCTGATGAAAACATTTCTAGCAAGTTTGAATGCATGTTGCAATGTTGCAAGTGAATAAACTATCATTTATGGAAAGGAAAAACACATAAAGACCTAATTTTTCTGTGCTTATGTCTGCAATGTTTTAAGTTGGTGACAGGGTCTCTTTAAGACCACATTAGTGGTGTCTGGAGTTAAAAAAAAAAGAAAATGAACACCCACAGTTGGGTTGGCCATCCGCAGCCTCTATTTCAATCCCAGGATATTATAACAAAGATGCCATCCCCATAAAATTCTATAGCTCAGTACAGACTTCTAATGCCCACTGCCCCATTCATTTCAAATGGGAGCCGTACTCCTCTAGATGACTGAGGGCTGCCATGCGTACAGCTCACCCCTAGGAATGTGCGTCTACAATACAAAGTGTAGCCAGCCATGACATTTTCCTTCCAAACACTGTGCGGTGGTGTTCAGGGCCATATAGTGAAGTCTGCTGAAACTGGGAGAAGGGGGAAGTATTTTACCAGATGGGGGCTGCATTCGGGAGGAAGGGGGGCGGGGGGCTTAAAGGGCAACTTTGCTAAAAGTGAAGTCATTTAGAGAAAAACTTACTACTAAGATTACTTGTACCTGTCCTTCTGCGAATGCTATCCATTGGCTTCAGCCCTGAGTTACTGACACAGAACAAGATCAGGATTTCCCATGAGGCATTGCAAGATTCTCAGCCACAGGCATGACTCCCAGAGATGGATGCATGATGGGATTTGTAGTTGCACCACAGCGGGAGAGCCAGAGTTTGACCACCCCTGCTTTATAGGATCCCTGTGGCTTTATTAGGGATGAATTACCGTATGTGTACTTGCATTGTGCCAAGCTGGACCAATGTAAGTATATATACATTTTTATTGCTGGAGTTCAGCTTTAAAGCCTCATTTTGTGAGTAGTTGTACATTGCAGTCACATGAAAATTTCAGCTAGTCATATCCACTGAAAGGATGTATACTGGCACATATGGCAGCTATGTACAAAGGCATTTCCATTCCTAATTAAAGCCCCATCATACTTGTCCAGTGTTGCAACACATGCTGCTAGAACGCATGGCAATGCACATACTGCTCTGTGTGTGTTGTGGTTCCATTCTTTGTGAATGTCGCCCCAATGCGATGTACAGTAAAGAGCAACGCACTGCATTTGGAAAAAAATAAAGGTCCATGTGTTTTTTTAATCAGTTGTGATGCGTTAGAAGCCCATCCATAATAAATGGCCTTCCCCCGGTAACTGCATTTTTGCATCCTGGACTCCATATTGGATGTGGTCTGTGGAGGTTGACATATGAGGTATGCTGTGTTGAGGAAAGGGTTAATGCAGCCAGTTTTGCATGCTCTCTGTACACCCATAGAAATGTGACCACTGCTTTTTTAGTCACCATGGCTACTCTGGAACACCGAGGACTGGGCTGATTATTTCCAAGAACCGCACGAAGCTATATGCATCTAAACTGACCAGATGACACAACTGTCTGTCTAAAAAGCATGTACCTACAGGGTCACTGTCCCTTCAATCAGCCATATGTGTGCAAATGTAAATTATAACCCCTATTATATTCCCCGAAAATAAGACCTAGTACTATTTTTGGGAATTGCTAAAATATAAGACCTACCCCGAAAATAAGACCTAGTTGTGACCATTCCCAGGGGCGGTGGTGGCGTAAGGGGGAACTTGAAGAGCCGCGGGAGAAGCAGAAGAGAATCAGCGGTGCCAACAACACCAGCGCTAGAGGAAGCGAGGTGGCACCAGAGGGAGCAGAGCCACATAAGTCGATGCCTCCTCTATAGCACTGGCTCCTGTCACAGGTGGAGTGATAACAAATGCACTCCGCCTGTGAGGAATCGATAGTGAAAGCGCGATCCGCTCATTCTGGCCAGCGATTGGTTAGCAAATTGCTCTTGGAACGGTACGGCACCCCTGATTGCCCTGATCACCCTATTTTTGTACATTAATTAGTGTGGGGAAAAAAATAAGACATTCCCCCAAAAATAAGACCTCGTGTGTGGTTTTTTTTTTAGCCCAAAAAAATATAAGACAGTGTCTTATTTTCCAGGAAAACACGGTAGCTGGACAGTAGACATGTGCGATTCGTTTCGTTCTGAATCAAAATTCGGTCACTTCCGAATCTCAATGCATCCAAATGTGCCCCTATCCGAATTACCGTTTCCGAATTTTGGATCCCGTCCGAATTTCGGACAAAAACTAAACTGAATCGGACATGTGACTTTTCTGTACTAGCAGATGTGTTTTTCAGTTTAATGCATCCGAATGGGTCTGAATTTTTGTTACAGCAACATGGGAGCCATCTGATTTGCCAGAAAAGTCAGATGTTGTAACAAAAATGTGTGTTCAGTATATACTTATACTACTAAAGCTGGGGCTCCAAGACCCGAATGGCACTCGGGAGCTCCCGAATGCAATTCGGATCCTGAATGCCATTCGGGTCTAGGAGATTCGGCTTTAGTATTAGTATCTGTATGTGGTATTCGCAACAAATATTCGTAAACTCATACGAAACTAACGAAAATTCGGATTTCGTCCAAAACCCGAACCAAACTGAATTTCGGATCCGAATAACAAAGTATCTGAACCGAATTTTTCAGCAGCTTACATGTCTACTGGACAGGAAACAAAAAAATGGAATGTTTAATAATTACAAATATTTGTGGAAGCGCGGTTGGTATAAAATATAAAGATCTATCTTTACATGACATAGCGTGGTCACCCTATAACAGGAAGTGCCTGATGGCAGGTGCACCAGGGATTATTTTAATGTAAATAGATTTAAAAATACAAATGATTTTGGTAATTCCATTAACGTGTTAAATCTTAAGAGATTTCCGTGATTGGGTATACAAATCCTTCAAATCGTTTCATGTAAAATGTATTCATATACCTTCGGGGGGCGCTCTACGGAAAAAGAATACTGTTCTTCCTCATTTATATTCTACTAGCTTAACCTCCTCGGGAAAGTATTTATCAATTGCATCTTGCACGCATCCCGCGCAGCGACTCCGAGTCAGATCTATTCATCCAGTTCAATGAGATAAGAACACAGCGATGGAGCAGGCGTCATTCAGGGCTCCGTGAGCTGTAAAGGAGCCATTATCTTCCCTGCGTCTCTCTAGTCTGGACTAAAAAGGAATTTTGTAAAATAAGGTCAAAGGTCCATCTCCGTAGAGAGTGTGTCCTTTCTTGTCTACCATCTTGATTTCCAGCTCTTTTTCTTTTCTTTTTTCTTTCTTTCCTTCGTAATTAAGGTGTCATTCAACACAAGATGCTCCGGCCGTATTGCCGTACACTGCGCGCTTGTAACTTAAGATGAGCTGACCCTGGACAGGTGAGGTCTGACAGTAGAGTCTGCTGTGACTACGTGATGTGCGGTCATCAAGTCTATCATCAAGTCTAATACACCTCTGAAGTTATGGAACAACTTGTATTTGTCCGCACTTCAGTTTTCTATGCTTGCTTCAGCGTTGTGCTCCTCATATGTGGGTTTTTTTTTTTAGATATTCTGTTATCTCGATTACAGATACCCAAACTACTTCAAGGCTGAAATCCAGGCAGAGACAAATGAACGCAGCTCTGTGTTCATTCATTGGTATCAGCCTTCTGTAGTACCTTGTGCTCAGACTGGGAGAGTGAGAAGCAGCACAAGGAGCAAAGAAAAAGAAGCATGCTGGTGGGAGAGAGCAGAGTGACTAAGGCGAGGTCATCAGTGTGCTGCTTCTCCTTTCACTGTCCAGTCAAAGGTTTGGGGAGGCCCAATACCTGTAAGTGTAAATCTGGGTATACACAGTAGAGATTTTACTTTGAAAACAGTCATTGGTTTGATTTTCTAACAGTTGATGGGGTCAGACAGTGAATGTGGTTTTCACTCAGGAAACTCCATTCAACTTCCACAATGAAATGT